TGGGAGAATTTGAAATTCCTCATATTTAATTTTCTTATTTCACCTATATATTTTATCTTATCTCTTCATTCTTTTAATTATTAAATATTCAAAAATATTTTAAATATTATCTAATATTAATTTTTAAAATTATTAAATATTTAAAAATGGATTAATATTTAGTTTTATAAAATTTAATTTAAAAATCTCAACATATAAATATATTTTTAAAATCAATTTTATCATGGTGGAATTAAATTATCATATTCAATATAACAATTTAAAATTTAAGAAATTTGAATTGACTTATCTAAACAAAATATTTTAAAAGACCTGTTTACTCTAGGAGTAAGTCTACCTAGATTTACTCCGTTCAATAACTCACGTTCTACATCAAATTTTAACGATTCAACCATTGAATTTAAAGTTCTTAATGCATAGATTAAGTTTGCAAATTTTTAAAAAATTTGTAGACCATTTGATACTTCGTTTCATTAACTCAAATTAACATATAAAATGACTTTATGATTGTCCATCAATTTGAATTAATGAAACGAAGTATCAAATGATTTTCTAATTTCTTAAAAATTTGCAAACTTGATCTATGCATTAAGAACTTTAAATTCAACAATTGAATTGTTGAAATTTGATATAAAACATGAGTTATTGAATGGAATAAATCTACTAAGTAGATTTACTTCGAAAGTAAACAAATCCCTTCTCTCTCTATATATATGTATAGTTGTATACATATAAAACATAATGCCATCTATGAAAAACATCCCTTATATTTATCTGAAGGTCTGGTAAGCATTATCTAAACAAATCCAACCATTGTCAACTTTGAAGATTCATTTGTTACCTCTTGAGAATTCACAATATCCAGGTTTCCTAAAAAATGATTCAAATAACCCTGCATTGCGACTTTGGCTCTATCAGCAATTGACTGCTGCCCTCCTAGAGATGGACGAATTATTGATAGAGCAGCAACAGATGGAACATATCTTTACAAAAGACCAAATCAAAGAATGAGTATGTTACATAAAGAATTATAAATTGATGCTGGAAATATAACATCTGTATTCTTTTTATTAAAATAAAAACAAGAATTATGTACTCTCAAAATTCTTAAGCTTTTGGAAAGGTTAGTAGTATTCAATGTAATCAAGACAAGAAATTCTGAATTCTAACCCTTTTGACCCCGGTCCCCATTTTTACGAATCAAATATTCCAAGCTCTATGACCAAATTAGTTATAGACTTATAGGTAGCTCTAAGTCAACAACTAAGAAGTACTTTATGTTAGAAGATCTCACATGCCTGCCTCAATTCTTGGGATGCAACTTATATATCTATTGGATAACTTCACTTAATGTCAATTGGTTTTAAGATGGGATCTAATACTTCATACACTAAAATCATTTAGTTCCAGACCTAAGCACAGCACATTTTAAAGTGTTGATAGTTTAAAAGTGCATCAGATAACAGATTTCTGTTTTATAAATTATAATGATATAAATTAAAATACCTGCTTTTAACACTGTCTTCATGATGTAAAGGCACAGCTCCATCATCCGGTTCTTCATCATCTTGAACTATTACCGTATGATCTACTATTCCTAAGTTGTGAAGCCATTCTTTTACCTTCACGAGACAGCAGTTTTACATTAGAAATTAGGCTGAATCATATGTATCAAAAATAATGAATGAAACTAATGGAAATATGTTTCTTCACTTAATAACAACAGAGTAACATGAAAAAAAAACCTGATTTTGCAACCTACGTAGATGTGTGAGCTTGGGGAGGTCCAAAAGACTAAATAAAAGAAACAACGCTGCAAAATGCAACATATAATGCGCAAACCTGCTCATGTTTGTCATGAAAATCTTCAATTATTGCACGTTTCCGCAAAGCGAATTGTAAATAGAGAACTTGTGATGCTTTCTTCAGTAGACGCCACTTGAACTGTGAAATAAAAATTTAACAATTACCTAGACATTAGTTGGAGTGAAACTGCAGCGCTTGACATCATAATTCATTACATCAAAAACTTACAGTCTAGGTCCCAAAAAGGGATATAAATAAGGTGTAAGGTGTAATTAATTGACATTCATATAATTTATGAACCATTGAAATTCGTAGGACCCTCAATGAACGTCTAAAGACACACAAATTGACAAAAATTCTGTTAAAATCCAGGACCAATCCATAGATGATGGTAAACATAAATAAATAAATAAATAGCATTTACTACTAAAAGAATATCATAAATAAATAGTATTTATTACTACTAAAAGAATATCTAAAGGCATCGTGTAAAATATTAGAAGAAGCAAAACAACCCAACAAATAATAATTTGCTATTGCTATAGTTCTTTTCATTCTCCATAACATATTCCAATTATAGGCATAATGGTCACTGAATTGGATGTGTCCACCCAATTGAGTTTACAAAGTGGAAAAAGAAATGAAAAGCACCCATTGAAGAATGAAGATCACTTGGCAAAGCAAAACAAATGAAGATGGAAATGAGTTGAGAAATAGAAACAAGTGTGTGTTAGTGCCTGTTTGTACTCCAACTCAATGGTATAAGAAAGAAGGATTGGGCTAATATCTCCGGTCTCCGGTCTCGAAACGGAGACGATGGTGGCCTTCGGCAACTCTTCGAAAATCCACGCCGCAGCTTCGCCGCATCGCCGGGAGTGCTGAGATCCCGACAGAGATTCCGACGGCTGAATCAGCGGCTCAGACGACATGGGAATGTCCGAAGAAAGCTACTTCACAAGTTGAGTTGGATCACGGTACTTCATTCGATAAAACAAAAACACATCCATATTGCGGCTTTTATAGTTTTTGTCATATCAGAGACACAGGTTGAGGTTAAGATTTTTCAAAACATTTATCATAAAACTAATATGCTAGACTAATAATTTATAAACAGTAGGAGAAAATTTATTTTAGACACAATTCGTACAATTTAAATTTTGTTGTTGTCGTCGTTTAAAAAAAAAAAAAAAACACGCCAACTTTTATGTTGTAAGGAAGTGTGGAAGAACGTGGTGTAAGGTACAACTTGTATGGTATGATGTTAAAATTATATTCGAATTTCTTTGGCTGTGGAATGAGCAAGAAGGCAAATAAAGTTTGTAAGCCAATGATTGAGCCTTAAATTTAAAGCGTTATTGTCATTTGGTGAAATGGAGGAGGAAGACAACTTTGGTCAAAAAAATGGTAAGTGAGGAAATTGATGCAGAACTAATGTAAGCGGTATATCCTTGAGTTAGGAAGAGAATATCCAAGTTTTGATGCTTACCACTGAGAATATGCCAAAATGGCATAATGATTGGTATTCCTTAATAATAACAAATTCAGGCGAATATGGATCGGCATCTTTCCTAATGGGATGGTTATGGATTCTATATTCCACTATTAAGAAGCCAAAAATCATAATCCAAAAATAGAATTGTCACTTATTTGAATATAAATTGCGGCGCCCGGTTATTCATAGGCCATTTTTTTAATAAAATAGATTCTAAATTATATGCTATTTTTGTTTGGGTATATGTTTGTGATTTTCACTCAGGTAGCTTTGCAAGTTGCAACAGTCTAACCTCAAAAATTGGGGGAAAAAAAATAATAAGATTAGGGTCTGCTATAAAATTTTAAAAACGACATTGGAAAGAAACAATAGAATAGCAGTCACTAGCAAGGTAGGAAAAAAATGTTGAAAAAGTCTTTTTTTTTTTTTTTTT